TTTACACAGTTTCTAGACCAGATAATAACTGTGCAAGCTTCTCACACAAACGTGCCTAGTAAAGAACCTGAAGCTTGGCTTTGGCAGGAAACTCTTCCTGCATTTCCTCTCAGAAACCCCGACTGAACACCAACACTCCTCACTTGAGTCCCACAGGTGCCTCGGTTTTGCTTTATAACATGTCACTACTCTTAACACGAAGCTTCCCACGGGCGGACTCAGTGGTGCTGAGTTATGTCACTGCTGGATGATCCCAGTCCCCCTTATGCTCCTTACTTATCAGGACACTTTAATAGGAAATCTTCCCAAGAGAGATTTTGTTAATCCCAGACAGTTCTGCACATTAATTTCTCTGTGGGTTAATAACTTCAGAGCTTGCACCAAAATAGTAAGCCCTGTACTAGTAATTTTACAATAAAAGGTGGAAGTAGCATTCATAATTTAGCAATATTCGTATCAGAGTTCAATACCAGCAGCATAAACACTAGCAATAACACCACTTCTCGCACTCCGCTTTCAGTGTTTTACCTCCACCCTACTTTGTGATGCATTTAGAAGGGAGATTTACCAAGAGAGGTGTGATTCCTCGTCTCCAGCGTCCCCACTACTGTTGCCCCCATGTTCAGGGTTATGGTTTGTTGCCAGTAATTTTAAGCGTGACATCAAGACGCTAAGGTAACGCTCTGTTTGAAACAACGGCAGCAGCTGTCAGACAAAAGATTTTAGGCACCAAGAGAGCTGAGCTGAGTATGGTTTGCTGCCAGTAATTTTAAGTGTGACATCAAGACGTATTCTGAGCATGCTAAGGTAATGCTCTGTTTGAAACAACGGCAGCAGCTGTCAGACAAAAGATTTTAGGCACCAAGAGAGCTGAGCTGAGGTTAGAAGCAACGGGGAAGGTTTGTGTTTTCACAGCATATTGGCGTACACGCAGAAAAGTCATCGCAGGGTGCAAGTCGGAGCAGTGCTGGATGGCTGTTGTGGGCTGGCAGATGAACGAGCAGCTCAAGGACTACCTCGGCTCTGTCGCAGCGCTGGGCACCAGCAGTCCTCTTGCCCCATATTCTCTGTCCTTCCCACCTGCAAGGTGGCAACCAATGACAAAAGGACTAAAACTGCACTGAAGACACTACTGAAAGTAGGGCACGGTATCTTTCATATCGACCTGTTAACTGTAACTTACCTACAACTTCTCTTAGAAGCTAATTATTTTACACATTTAAATTAGGGTAATTAGATCAGCAGGA